AATTTATCAACATTAGATAATTCTGAAACTTTAGAAATTTCAGAAAGTAATCTTTTAGAAAATAAAATTTGGACTGAAGAAGAAATCTCTAAATTTAAAATATTATATCAAAAAACAAAAGATAATTTAGAAAAACAAGATGATGATAATCAAAAATTAGATGAAGAAATTAATTTATTACAAAATTATGAATTTAAAGAATCTTTTGATAAAGGATGTTGTGAAAAAACTTGTTTACAAACTCAATGTGATTATTCAGTAGCATTATTAAGGCATTTGAATTTTAAAAATCTTTCTAAATTATTTCAAGATATGTTTTTATTAGGTATTATTTCAGCTACTAATGACCTGAAATAGTTTAAAATTTAAAAAAATCTAAGCTTTTAACTGAATATATTTTTGAAGGAAAAGCAATTTGTTTAAATGCTTTTAAAATAATTTATGGATTAAGAGAAAAAAGATGAAAAAATTTAAGAGATCATTTTGTAGAAAATGATATAAATTTACGAATAAACTCAAAAACAGGAAAAATAGGAAATAGAACAATATTATTTGAAATAGTATTAAATATAATTACTTTTATAGCAAATTATGCAAAACAAAATGGTTTGCTTTTTTTTTTTTGGCGATCTTGCCCATCATTTTATTAAGGAAAAGCTTACATATACTACAAAGTAAATTACTATCTAAAGTATAATAAAGTACCCTCCTTCAACTATTCTGAACTCACTCGGCTGCCTTAAGGTGCCCAGGTATGATCTGCCGCAGCAACAATTTCTCTCGCAAAGACTTTAGTCTGCAGGTACAGACTCTAGGCCTCTGGTCTATGAGAGGCTGCTACCAGCCTATATCAAAACCGCCTTATTTGTTTTAATTTTTAGCCATCCTTCTTTTTTTTCGGTTCTTACCTATATGTCAACTCTTTCTAATGCCTCCTTCTGTAATCTCTCTTTTTTTTCTTTTATTCCTTCCTTTCCTGCATTACTAGGTTAGACGTTTTCTTTGTCCTCATTTCCCTTTTTACTTCATTTTTTCTTTTTGTCTTTAGTCGAGATTTGGTTCTCTTTTTCCCACTCGATCATAATTTCATACTGGAATTTCCACAAACGTTCGAAAAAGCACTCCCAAAAGTGTTTTACAAAGCTGACTAAGATTCTCTTGCCTTCTTTCTTGACTGAGTTACTTTGCTTAACCTTGTGAGCTGCTTAATACTTGTAAGTCCTCTTAGATGCATCTTCCTGTTATTCATTTTTTCCTCTGACTCGGTACCATATATTACTTCTTCAAGAGAACTCTCGTTTAATATCAGATCCAATTTTGTTGAAATTTCTAGGCCTGTTAGAAAACAAAATGGTTTGCTATCTCCAGGTATTAATTTATTAAATAATAATTTTTATCTAATTTATTTTTAATTAATATATTATATAATTTAATA